AGACCAGGGGAAGAGCTAAAGAGGGAGGTGGAGTAGTTCCTTGGGTGTGAGCTGAGCTTGTCGATAGAGGTGAGGACCCCGGACCCTGCACCCACACCCACGCCTGGCGGTTCCTGGTGCCGTTTAATGAAGTCCTCCCTCGGATTGTTACTGATGAAAATGCCAGTGACAAGGAAGGGTCATTTTGAAGGTGCGTAAGGACCATAGTTATGACAGCCATCTGCTATTCACATTACTTTGCAGGAATCATAGGTTGAGTTTTCAATGTCAGTAGAGGTGTGCCTACAATGCCTTTAGACCTCTAACAGTTTCCAGTTGTCTACAGAAATAGTGTATATGAATTAGTTTCTAGAATTTTTGTTAAGTTTCTCTTTTTGTATCTCAAGTATATAATGCACTTACTGGAGATAGTAATTGTGCCTGTACTGAAACCATCTGAGGCCTCGTGGCTATGGGAAGATTCCTTTACTTCTTGAAGTTAGAGAAGCAACATTTAAGGAAATGGTAACTATAATTATGGGTTCCAGAAAACAGCTGTCATGAGTACATGTATCTTGTCTTATTATCTGTGGTTTAATAATATTCTAACATCATCCCCAAGCTCACAACTCATTTCCTTATGATTTCAACATAAACGATACACAAGATTCTGTATTCCCAGATATTCTCTTCTACTGTCTTTTGTCTTTCACATATGTTGCCTAATATCCAATAGTTTCGCTTATTGTGGGATTTAATGCTTAATCATTTGAACCAAAATTACTAATAACTTAGTTTCTACCTCACACTGTTTAATTACATACCATATATATTTTTTTGCTTCACAGCTCTGGGAACAGGGTAATATTGTCAGATGGTTTATTGGATTGAGTCCACTGTGTTTTCCTTCCTGGAATGACAGCCAATGAGTCTTTCTGCTGAACTCACATTGAGCAAACCCTTCATTCACCAAGCCCAGCTAAGACCTTGCAAAGTTTCTTGTAGGATTAGCCTAGAGAATAAATTATTAAAGAATATGGAAACTTTATGAGCAGGTTTGTCAAGGAGAAGAAAAGTAGCCTGAAATGAAATGGAAAAGTGTTTTTCAAAAGTAAATACAGGTCTTATTGGAAGACACAGCTGACCTGGATTGTCCGTGGAGCACAGAGTTTCGGGCACTGTCGGCTCCAGCCTGCCATGTTCCAGTCTCCATTCGGCCCCTGACCAGTGTGTGAATTTAGATACGTCCCTTAACTTCTCTGTCTCTGAGTTCTTCTTATCTTTGCAGTGCCTCTGTCATGCAGTGAGGAAAATTTTAAAAATGATTCATATTTACGGCTGTACAGCAGTGGCTTACGCGTTTTAAGTGCCATGTAAGAGTTATTCATTCCATTCTTGGAAGCCCCTTAACAAAACTAAATTGAAGAAGTGTATCTCAGAGAGCATATTGGATTTCAGTTGATATGATCAATCTAGTCCACACGACATGATCTGGTGCAGGATCCTCTGAGTCTGAAGACAAATACCAGTCACTAGCAACTGGCCCTAGATTTTTGACAATAGGAGTGGTCTCCTTATCTGAGACTTGTTGGAATCCTGGGCATTTTCTCTTCACTGCTCTCATCTCTCATTTTGTTATATAAGATGCAGGTTGTGCTGCACAGATTTGGTTCTAAAACATGTGGTTACAGTTTTTTCTTGGTCATGCCTTTTATAGGTGTCCCCAAGCCAATGGCAGCCTTTAGGTGAAGGATTTCTTCAGTGACTTTTTTTTTTTTAAATATTTATTTATTTTTGAGAGA